TCATTTTAGTGCCACATTTGTGATTGTTGTCATCCATTAAATAAATGCGATACATAAATCTATACTGATTGTATAATTATTATTCATTTATAGTAGCTACAGCTAATAATAATAATAATAATAATAAACATTATTATTATTATTATTATTATTATTATTATTTAGAATCCTGCCTCCACCCTGTGTTCGTGGAGTTTTCATATTCTCCCCGAGCTTTGTAGATTTCCTCTGGGTACTCCGGTTTTCTCCCCCAGTCCAAAGACATGTGTTGTATGCTGATTGGCATTTCCAAATTGTCCATAGTGAGTGAATGTGTGTGTGATTGTGCCCTGTGATTTGTTGGTATCCTGTCCAGGGTGTCCCCTGCCTTGTTCCCCAAGTTCACTGAGATAGGCTTCAGGCTCCCTGCGACCCTGTCTAGGATATGCAGTACAGAAAACGGATGGATGAATTGAATAAGGATAATCGAATAAATCATATATTATATACACTATATGCCCAGAAGTATGTGGACACCTGCCGTCACACCCATTTTTGTTCCTTCCCCACTCTGTTGCCAGAAAGTTCAAAGCATACAATTGTGTAGAATGTCTCTGTATGCTGTAGAATTAGGATTTCCCTTCACTAGAACTAAGATGCTCAAACTTGTTCCAGCATGACAGTGCTGCTGTGGACAAAGCGAGCTTCATGATGAGATGGGCACAGAGCCCTGACCTCAACCCCACTGAACACATTTGGGATGAACGTCAACTGCACCCCAGACCTCCTCACCAACATCAGTGCCTGACCTCACTAATGCTCTTGTAGATGAACAGCCACGGCCCAAAATCTAGTGGAAATCCTTCCTAGAAGAGTGGAGCTTATTATAACAGCAAAGGGGGGATAAATCTGGAATGGGATGGTCAACAAGCACATATGGGTGTCCACAAATGTTTGGCAATATAGTGTTTATTTATACTGTAAATTATCTATATTTATGCCTCAGGTTCTCTGGTTTCTTCCCACGTCCCAGAATCAGGCCAGTAGATAGACTGGTTGCATTATATTGCCCCTTGGTGTAAATGAATGTGTGTGAATGTGTTTGTGCATAGTGCCCTGCGATGGACCATCCTCTGTGTGTGTCCATCTTGCGCGCGGTGTTCCTGGGATAGACTCTGGATCCAAAGCATCCCTGACCAAGATGAATTTTGATGCAGTATTTCAAAAATATATATTAAAACAGTGGGAAACAACAGCAAGTAAGTTGAGGGACTTGAACAGACATCATATATTTTTCTCTTAAGTTCTGAAATTAAGGTTGTCTGTGTGTTAGTATGCCATTGCTTCCATGTTGCTTTGCTTTGAAGAGGAGTACAGCTGCTTTACAGAAGATGCTCGCTTGCCAAGAGAGTTTCCTTGACGATGTTTTGGGCCTGTCCACAGGAAACCGGGATTGTTAGCGAAAACCAGTCCATTGTTTGTCATACTTGGTTTTAACGAGTGGGGAAGTGAGGTGAAGGTTAGCTGTTTCAGATGACTGTTTCTGATATAGAGCAGAAGCAAAAGTCTTATCTTTGACTCCTGAGGTGTTTGTATGTGTAACGTATCAGATATACTCATCACCTGTAACCAGATCTAAAAGAGTGTGAGAGAAAACACCAGTTACTTCATTATGTGACCCACATACTCTAAGAAATAAGGCCACTCAAAGTCTTGTCTTATGCAACACATGGCAAAATGGGTTTTCCTCTCTGCAGCAGATTAATATAGCAATTCACAGATTACACTTTGTTCTCCCAGATGTCTGTTACTGATGCTACACCCCTGTTACCTGCTTTGCTTTTGATTGAGCTGTTAGTTTCACATGTTCTCATCATGTGGGTTTTCTTCAGGTTCTCCAGTTTTCCTCCGCCTCCCAAAAACATGTCGGTAAATTACCTCTAGGTGTGAACGAGTGTACGAATGAGCGTTGTGCCCTGTGATGGACTGGTGTCCCATCCTCATGCCCAGTGTTTCTGGGATAGGCTCACAATCCACCACAACCCTGACCAGGATAAAGCAGATACTGAAGATGAATGAATGAATATTAGATGCTTTTTCCTTAATATATAATGAAGCTATGGATTAGCCTGTGGTTTACATGATGGCCTGTTCAGAGTACTGTATATTATTTAAAAGAATTCGTAGATGTAGCCATAGCAATGGAATAATCATTGTGCTTCAAGCGCCACAAGCCATCTGTCCTTGCCTACTGTTCATCGAGGCCTGCAGATATAAGAGGGTTGGCTAGATGCTGAAGGAGATGAGGAGAGAGGGATGGCAGAGAAGGAATGAATTGCTTAAGGGAAAATAAGTATGAGAGAGAGAGACATAATGGAGCTATATTTTAATTTGAAAATAGTCACTTCTATTGTAAGCTTTTATATATATATATATATATATACACACACATACAATGAGTGTGTGTGTGTACGTACGTACAACCCCAATTCTGAAAATGTTGGGACAGTATGGACAATACTAATAAAAACAAAGAGGAGTGATTTGTAAATGTACTTTGTATTCAAACATATAAAGACAAAGTATTTGATATTTTGCCTAATCAACTGCACATTTTTTTGAAGATAAATGTTTATTTTGAAATTGATGCATGCAACATGTTCCAAAAAAGTTGGGACAGGGCAATTTAGGACTAATAGCGATGTTACAAGTTGAAATAAGAAAGTGATGTGAAACAGGTGAGGCAATAGTCTAATCATAGTTTTTAAGGAGCCTCCAAAAAAGGCAGAGTTCTTCAAGAGCAAGGATGGGTCAAGATTCGCCAATCTGCCAACAGATGCTTCAGCAAATAATCCAACACTTTGAGAACAAAACTCCCCAAAGACAAATCGGTAGGATTTTGGACTTTTTTACAGTGCAAAATATAATTAAAATATTCAAAGAATCTGGTCAAATCTCTGTGTGTAAAGGGCAAAGCTGAAAACCACTTCTGAATGCATGTGATCGCCGATCCCTCAAACGTCACTGTCTTAAACACCGTCATGAGTCTGTAATGGATATCCTGACATGGGCTCTGGAATACTTTGGTAAACCTTTGTCAGTCAAAACCAATCGCCACTGCATCCACAGATACAAATTATGGCTTTACAAAGCAGAAGCCATACATCAACACTGTCCAGAAGCGCTGCCGACTTCTCTGGGCTCGGTCTCATCTGAGATGGACAGTAGTTCAACGGAATCGTGTTTTGTGGTCCGACAAGTCAACATTTCAAATTTTCAGACAGTTTTTGGACAAAACATCCATCGTGTTTTACAGGCCAAAGAAGAAAAGGACCATCCAAGCATCAGGGTCAGGTCCAAAAGCCAGTGTCTGTCATGACTCGGGTGTGTTAGTGCCTATGGCATTGGAAACTTTTGGAGTAACATATGCTGCCATCCAGAGCAGGACAACGCCAAACCATATTCTGCCCTTATTACAAGCGCATGCTTGTGTAAGCAGAGAGTGCGAGTGCTAGCATGGCCTGCCTGCTGTTCTGACCTGTCTCTGATTGAGAATGTGTGGCGCATTATGAAGCACGAAATAAGGCAATGAAGGCCCCATACAGTTGTGCACTTGAAGAAATGCATAATGGATGAATGGGGTAAAATTCCGCTTGCAAAACTTAACCAGCAGGTCTCTTCACTCAGCGCCCAAACACTTAATAAGTGTTATTAAAAGAAAAGGTGATTGTACGCTGGGGTAAACAATCGACTGTCCTAACTTTTTTGGAGTGTGTTATATAAAATTAAATTAAATTCACAAAGTAAAATCTCAAATAACGTGTTAATAATGCATTTTCAATATAACTGGTACAGGGTGAACTGAATTTTCAGTGATCCCTGTTTGTTTTTTTTTGTTTTTTTTTTTGCATTGCCCATACTGTCCCAACTTTTTATATATATATATATATATATATATATATATATATATATATATATATATATATATATATATATATATATGTATATACACACACACACACACACACGCACACACACACTGTCACACCCATTCAGAAGATGGTAAACAGGCTTCACTGACTCAACCTTCTCCAGTAAAACAAGAACATGGAGAAAATGAGAGGTACAGCGGTCTGAATGAAATCATTGTCATGGACTGAAGATCGAGGTCAGGGGCAAATGATGAGAATGAATGGAGTTTAGACTAATAATAATACGACACATTGTAGAGAAGGAATGTGGATGTGCCAGAGTCGATTCCTGATTAAACGGGGCAAAGTAATCCAAAACATCTTGACTCCACAGCTTAAGGGATACAGATTAGGTTCTACAACATGGCCTGTTGTGATGTTTCGCATTGACTGAGGGATCCTACACGAAAGTGTTTTTTTCCCCCCTGATCTTTAATATTTATTTGTGAGCCAGCTAAGCTTTTACCTGACATCTCCGTCTCCTTAGCTCTCTCGTATGTTTAACTGGGTCTCATCCTGAGGGAGGTCCCTCTCTATTTAGGATTGTGTTTCTGATTTAGCTTCACGCACCCTGATTCCTGCATCATCGCCTGAATTTCTGAGCCACAAATCTCCTCTTGTGCACTCCATATTATTATGCACTACATAATAATAATAAAGGAAAGACATATTAGAAGCCTGAGTACTTGGTTTGTATTTGTCAAGAAGTCTGTTGTGTTTTTTGAGCAATGAAACAAAATACATTCATGCCAAGGGCAGTTTTGTTTTTGTTGCTTTCATGGTTTAAACTAGTTTGTATGCTTTCTTATTTGAATAGTGAGAAGCCTTACTGTTAGTTTCATGATGAACACAATCCCATCAATTATCATCTCTCCAAGGCAGATCTATAGAAAGAACTATAGATGTTGTTCAATTTGAAAACCTGAGATTTTGTTTACAATCCTCTGAATTTAGTCACATCTCTGGACTACTGGAGAACCATTGTTGGTCCTTAATTGTATAGTGCCACCAATTAGTCTGCTTTTTATTCAACTTGGATCTGTCCTAGAGGGCATGGTGGCTTAGTGGTTAGCATGTTTGCCTTGCACCTCTGGTGTTGGAGGTTCAAATCCTACCTCTGTCCTGTTTGCACACATCTTGCATGTTCTCCTGGGGTTTCCTCCAGGTACTCAGGTTTCGTCCAAAGACACACAGTGTGGGCTGATTGGCATTGGAAAATGGATGGCTCTGTCTTACTTTTGTCCCTGTTATGTAGTTTTGTCTCTTGAATTTCCCACTGTTTGATATGATGCTTTGGTGTCAGTTACTTTTAACAAAATGGCATGTCCTGTATTTTATCTTCATGTCTGAACACACACCATATATACACTGTACCCTGTAGCACTACTTTACACCCTGTCCTATATATGGAGTCAGGAGGGTAATAAGTGTGTCTGGAATAGGCAGTGAGAGTTGTTGGGTTTACAGTTTCACCACGTCCCTGACACATTGCCTGGCCTTGTCTAAGAATGCTATCTTTCCTGGCTCTGTTCCAGGGGTGTGTATTGTTAAAATAACTGTCTATTTTTTTTCCCAAGGGATTTCTTACCAAGAGGTTCAGGGATTGTCACTCGAAGACCACTTGTGTTACAGCTAATCAGCTCCAGCTCAGGTTGGTACACACGTACATATGCACACAGTATGTACAAGTATATACATCTCTGCTGTGTGACTGCACAGGACTGACTCGCTGACTCCTTGAAAATTTGCACGGTGCTTTCTCAGCCGTGACGGAGTTCCAGATTTGATCAGCTTTTGCATTTTATTCAATGAAGGAAAAGGAAAGGTGTGACCGCTGAATGTTTGATTACATGCATGAAATTTTTTTTTAACCACTTGGGGTCAGTGTGTCCCTATCTGTTTCCATCAACTGTTCAATGGAACGACTTGTATCCGACTATCAGTAAGTTAACGTGGACAACAATAATCCGATATTAACCGATTAAGACAATACTCTACTTAAGAACCTTGCATGTAAACAGTGATTTAATCCAACTAAAATCATACTTGAAGTAAACAGAAATCGAATTAGGACATGTGGAGTATTCCTGTTTTAATCGCATTATGGATGTGCATCACAGACATGTACACACCTTAATCACACTATTGTGTGGGAGTTTTCACTGCATTTTGCGACAGGACACATACACACATGGCAGTACTCAACCGTTTGACCGCAAACAAGAATGAATTGTGTCCGAAACTGCGTACTTACTTAGGAGAAATACATGTACTTCGGTTACTATATAGTAGGTAAGCATGCGGTTTCGGACGCATCCCATGGCTTCAAGCAGTCATCTATGTGCACGGGCCGCTATGGCTCAGGTGGTAGAGCGGGTTGTCCACTAATCGTAGGGTTGGCGGTTTGAATCCTGACCCACATGACTCCACATGCCAAAGTGTCCTTGGGCGAGACGCTGAACCCCAAGTTTCTCTCGATGGCGAGTTAGCACCTTGCATGGCAGCTCTGCTACCGTTGGTGTGTGAATGTGTGTGTGAATATGTGAATGAGACACAGTGTAAAGCGCTTTGTATAAAAGCGCTATATAAGTGCGCCATTTACCATTTACATATAGCATGATAAATAATTATCTGCACTTGAAGCTTTCGTAAAATTAAAAATGAAACACCCAAAACTATATACAGTACCATAACGAAGACAAAATGTGTGCCGATATGTGAAATTCTGGAGGGAACATCGGACGGCCTGGTGTGGGGACGTAATAACGTGTGACATTAATCGATCTATGTTCTATATCATGTAAAACAGGAACATGAGTAACAAGAAGTATTCTAAAAGTGACTCATGTAAACACTTTAATCAGAATATTGTCTTACTCAGAATAAGGTCCATAATTAGATTTGTGTTGTCCATGTAAACGTAGTCTATGAAAGATTAAGTTAACATCTTAATGTATTCATTAAATGCATTTAATTTGTTCTCCCGTGTCCTCTTTCTCACCTGTCCTTCCATCGGCTCTCGCAGAGTATGCCGAGTTTCTACACTGTAAAGGGAAGAAGTTTACGAACTTTGCTGAGGTTCGCCACGAGATTGAAGCAGAGACAGACAGAGTAACAGGAGCCAATAAAGGCATTTCCTCCATTCCCATCAACCTACGTGTTTACTCACCAAACGGTATGATCATCACCTTAACAACAATCATCTCCTAACATGGCGTTTTTACGTTAAACATTATACAGTTATGTAACATGTGAATGTGTTGTCATTTTCCTTCTCTCTCAGTGCTCAACCTGACTCTGGTAGACTTGCCAGGCATCACTAAAGTTCCAGTAGGGGATCAGCCTCCAGACATTGAATACCAGATCAGAGACATGATCATGCAGTACATCTGTCGGGAAAACTGCCTCATCCTGGCTGTCACACCCGCAAACATGGACCTGGCCAACTCAGACGCCCTAAAACTGGCCAAAGATGTCGACCCACAAGGTGAGGGCCGAACAAAACAATACTGAATGCGCAATACTGTTTCCTCAGGATTTGTTTTGATCTGCGGTTCCTTTTTCTCAGGTCAGAGGACCATCGGCGTCATCACTAAACTAGATTTGATGGACGATGGAACGGATGCCAGAGACGTGCTGGAGAACAGGGTTCTACCCTTACGTAGAGGTACAGTGTGCTTTATCAGTCTGCAGTTAGGCCTTAACAAAAGCTAGTAGTGCTAGAATGCAATCAGTGTGTTTTTCAGTTAATGTTACTGGCACTGTTCGTACAGTAATTTTGTCATATCAGTATGGATATGTGTGGACGAATGTAGTGTGTGTAAAGCCTTTTAACTGTAAGCAGATCTGTGTGAGGTCATGGTGTTGATATGAGACAAGTTCCCTTCCTGTAGTCCTACTGCCACAGGGTTTAGGTTACATCCAGAGCTGGTCTATAGGAACTGAACCGGTGCCAAGCAGTGTAGGCCGTGCTCCCCACAGCAGCTAAAGCAAGGCCAGGTGCTGGGCCTTCATGCTTTGTGCTGGCACTTTAATGCATTAGACACACATACTCACACACACAGACTTTTTTATTTCCCATTCAGATTACTGTAGAACACTCTCTAAATATATTTCAGTTTTAGAGTGTCGTATAGATGTTCTATATAGATGGTATAATATTTGATTATTATTTCTTTACCTGTCACCTTTCATTTGCATATTTACTATTTCTTTGTCAAAGAGCCTCTCTACTAATGTGTATAAAACTCTGTGTGTCTATGTATCTGGGATTGATGTAGGTTACATTGGAGTGGTGAATCGCAGTCAGAAGGACATTGAGGGGAAGAAGGACATCGGTGCGGCTATTGCTGCGGAGCGGGTGTTTTTCCTGTCTCATCCAGCTTACAAGCACATGGCCGACCACATGGGCACACCTTACCTGCAGAGGGTTCTCAACCAAGTGAGAGACAGTGAAAGAGAGAGAGAGAGAGAGAGAGAGAGAGAGAGAGAGAGAGAGAGAGAGAGAGAGAGAGAGAGAGAGAGAGAGAGAGAGAGAGAGAGAGAGAGAGAGAGAGAGAGAGAGAGAGAGAGAGAGAGAGAGAGAGAGAGAGAGAGAGAGAGAGAGAGAGAGAGAGAGAAGAAATATATATATATATATATATATATATATATATATATATATATATATATATATATATAAAAACAAGCCTGAGATGGGGTATAAATAACATGATATTCAGGCTACGTTGAAGCTTATCAGCTGCAAATCATGACACAGGCATCCAAAGCGTCTCTTTAAACATTATCCTATCAGTCCTATGTGGATATAGAAACATATCCTAGCATTGAGTTGTATGGTACCTCTCTCATATCCATAGCAACTGACCAATCACATCCGGGACACACTGCCGGAGTTCCGTAACCGGCTGCTGTCTCAGCTATTCTCGCTGGATAAAGAGGCTGAGGAATACAAACACACGGACCCTGATGACCACTCACGCAAGACCAAAGCACTGATGCAGTGAGTCACTACATGCAGTCAGAATATGATACCGTATAAACAGAAACAGAAACGTTCGCAAACCGAAATGTGATTCCTGCAAAACCTGAATTTTATGTAGACCTGTAAGTTTAATGAAGTTCACAAGTAATAATGAAAGATGTGGTGACGTACTGTAGACCTCCAACGGGAAGGAAAGTTTGGACACCAGACATTCTTGGCAGATCGATAAGGTTGTTTTTTTATTTGAACTTTTGCTCTCAATAAAGCAGTACATCACTACGAGTAATGACTTCACATGGCCCTGATATCTTTTCCATGAAAACTTTTTTTTCCTTCTTTTTTTTCTTCAAATTCAATGAAATTTGTTCTTGACTTGTTCTTGACAATAAACACAGGTTTTGACACACATTCTGTCTTCACACTAACAAAAAAATACATTCTCACAAATCGAGTGCTCTACTTATAGCTGTCTGACCAAGTATCTTTGTGTCTTTCCCTCTCTGTCACCCAGGCTAATCCAGCACTTTGGACTTGACTTTGAAAAGATGATTGAGGGCTCTGGTGACCAAGTGGACACCGTTCAGCTCTCAGGAGGAGCCAAAATCAATCGTATCTTTCATGAGCGCTTTCCCTTTGAGCTAGTCAAGGTGTGTGCCGGTCATCGCACATCTGCTTCACTGATTAAACTGTGCTTTGTACTAGAGGTCGACCGACAGTGGGTTTTTACCGATAACTAAGTTGGGCAGTAGCTGCCAATAACCGATTAATCAACTGATAGTTTTTAAAGTGCCCCAATTCTGCTATATTAAAAGTGCCTAATTTTGTTTGAGGTCTCGTACAATAGGTTTACATGCATCCAAGGTCAAAAAACGCTTCGTTTTTCTCATAATTTGCATTGCAGCATCACCTCTTTTTCTCAGTGACACAAACAACTCGCTTAAGGATCCGTCCACTCTAATCTCCACCTTTCATAGAAACTACTCTGCTCTGATTCGTCAGATGTCCCAGTCTGTTGTGATTGGTATACCACTTACAGCACGTGTCGGAAAGGAAACGCCCACTACTGTATCTGTACTTCAGCTCAGTAATAATGTCGTCGGGTTTACCTCATCAGTTTGAGCCCGAGCCCGAGTCCGATA